AGGCTCTGTGGTTTAACCCACAGCGCCACCTGTGTCCCTAATAATGGTCAGGGGTACCTTTACCTTTATTCAGCATTAGAACAAAGGAAAATCATGTCTGCTTCCCTTCGTGTCCAAGCAAACAGCATAAAACAAAAGCTATACACAACGGAAGTTCCCAGCAGGCTGTGCTGGACTGTAAACAGGCATGTGACACACAACAGTCATGCCTGTTCCTTTTAAGGTGGAACAGAACATCAATATCCTAACGCGTAGCCCTTTAGGGAGCTGTGATTGGTTGCACTAACCTACATGGTTGGTGCCGAAGATATTGTTGTGCAAAACAGTCCTTACTGCTTAGCATTTTCTACAATGCTCTGATAAAATAGTTAGCATGCTTTCAGTGTCTCTTAATATATTATCCTTGCGTTGCAAAAAGGGAATGGGGGCCGAGGGCTTAAGTTTGCCGATCCTAAAACCACTGGGTACATTTGTGACTGAGGCGAGATTTGAGTCAGGATTTGACACAGCTTCAGACTTAGGTTGAAGTGAATGGATCAGTCCCGGTGATTCATGGCTTTCGGTTGGATTTTCTGGGTTCCATGATTTCTGAGTCCTTGGTATACCTTTTTATGACAAAGTTAGGTCCGTTTTCCATAGGACATGTCCTGAATAGGTACTTAAAAGTATCCCAGGTTCACTATCCTGGATTTTTTATGTGTGAGTTCTTCCCATTAACTGTGCTAGAGTGGGGAAGCCAGCTATAAGCATGTTGACACAACTTCCATTTGCTAATTAAGTGGCCTAATTAAGCCCAAGTCTGTCTTCTGAGCTTATAACTTCCTGCTTGTGCGCTTCCCAGAGGCATCGGGCTGGTCACTGGGGGAAACAGGATGGTATTCTCGAGATACGACTTTTGATTTGATTGGTAAATGCTGGATTCAGAGTGGAGCTCGTTCTTCTTTCGTTTTGCTCCTCTAAAGGCTTTTGCAGACAAACAGGTCTTCCTCAGTCCTAGCCAACCTGCTCCACTCTTTGACGTGAAGGGCTGAGGAACCCGTGTGATTTTTAGGGAAGTGGCCCACAACAGTTTATGCCACGATAAATCTCCCAGTCTTTAAGGTGCCCTGCAACTCTTTGAACCAAGCCAGAGACCCTGTCTGCGGCCCCTATCTTCATACCTCTGCCCTGGGCTTGCTGCCTAGTACAGTGGTACCTTGGGTTACATACGCTTCAGGTTACATATATTTTATATTTTATACCCCGCCCATCTGGCTGAGTCTCCCCAGCCACTCTGGGCGGCTCCCAATCAAGTATTAAAAACAATACAGCGTTAAATATTAAAAACTTCCCTGAACAGGGCTGCCTTCAGATGTCTTTTAAAGATAAGATAGCTACTTATTTCCTTCACATCTGAAGGGAGGGTGTTCCACAGGGTGGGCGCCATTACCGAGAAGGCCCTCTGTCTGGCTCCCTGTAGCCTTACTTCTCGCAATAAGGGAACTGCCAGAAGGCCCTTGGCACTGGATCTCAGTGTCTGGGCAGAACAATGGGGGTGGAGACGCTCCTTCAGGTATACTGGACCGAGGCCGATTAGGGCTTTAAAGGTCAGCACCAACACTTTGAATTGTGCTCGGAAACGTACTGGGAGCCAATGTAGGTCTTTCAAGACCGGTGTTATGTGGTCCCGGCGGCCACTCCCAGACACCAGTCTAGCTGCCACATTCTGGATTAATTGCAGTTTCCGGGTCACCTTCAAATGTAGCCCCACGTAGAGCACGTTGCAGTAGTCCAAGACTCTGCTAACCCAGAAATATTACCTTGGGTTAAGAATTTTGCTTAAGGATGAGAACAGAAATCGTGCTCCGGTGGCGCAAGCACCAGCGGGAGGCCCCATTAGCTAAAGTGGTGCTTCAGGTTAAGAACAGTTTCAGGTTAAGGATGGACCTCCGGAACGAATTAAGTACTTAACCCGAGGTAACACTGTATTTCCATGTCTGTTTAAGGTTAGTGTTGTATGCATAAGCGAAGTCTCTTTAGCACCTGTTGATACAATAATGGAGACATACTTAGTACTGAATGTCAAAAACATAATTTAACTTCCATTAAAGTTTAAGAAAATTAGAGACTTGGCAGTGGTGGCTAATGTCTTAGTATACCTTGATTGAACTGCTGTAATGTTACCTATGGAAGGCTGCCTTTGAAGACTGCTGGAAACAATAGCCGTGGTGAAACTTCTGACCACCACTATATTTTTTAGAAGTCAGTCTGTTTCAGATGTTTCTTCAAATATTTCTTAGAATTGTTGTGTCATGTGAAAATGTGTACCTGTCCTTAATGTTTTACAGCACTCTCAACAATAACAACATCACACGACTCTCAGTGGCAAGTTTCAACCATATGCCCAAACTCAGAACCTTGTAAGTAGTTAACGTGTTTTACTTAAAATGTGATAAAATGTAATTCCTATTATTAGTTTTTCACAATAACCAGTGTTAGGAACTATATTTTAGAGGTTTGACCATTTAGTAATTACCCTGAAGGTGTGACTCACTGACCTCAATACTTCCCTTTGCGCAAGCAAGCCTTTCCGCCTTTGCCGTAGTGTAAGTGTTGGGTTGTGTACAGACTGGTGCAGTTTGTAAATAACAGGGCAATTGCAGCAAAATGTTCTTTCAAGAAAGGCTTGATAATATTTGAAAGTTGAGAAGGTGGATGGCAGATCACACCCCGTAAAAGATCAGAAATGCAGGGCATGACCATGCCACAAAACTTGCTTTTAATTTTTTGGACCCGTATGTGTTATATCTGTCTTGTGTCTTGAGCAGGCTGATTATTGGCTAAGCTATAGCTATTTAAGACGCTTAGACCAGTAGAATTTTCAGAGAGCCTTCACCTGTTTCCTTGTGCCTTGCACACATTTGAAGGTGTGATAGATTGAAATTTTAAATAGTCAAAACGTCTTTAAAAATATCTTCTCTGGAACAAAACCTGAGAGGTATTTTGAGGAACTGGTCAGGTTTCACTTAAGATCGCAGTAGAATCTGTGTGATGGGCTGTCAGATATGATAAATGTGAAATCTTTAAGGTTTTATTGCTGTAATGCTAGCAGGCCTAATTCAATTAAAATGGCTCTCTCCCAGATTTTTTTAAAAAATATATAAATAATACATGTTCCAATAGTGCAATAATTAAGGTTGTGGCAGCAGTTGCTTCAAGAACCCAATATTTAATGATGGGTCTTACATGTAAAATATGCATAAGGCTATTAAGAAAAATAATTGAACAAATTCTAGTTAGTGCTGATTTTTTTTTAAAAAAAAGAACACCAGTGTTTGATATGTTATCAACAGTAGATAAGTAAAACTGCATGAAGCTCATTCTCATATGCATTTAAATCAGGACTGAGCCCCAGATGTTTATCCTCCTCATGGTACCACAGTTCAAGCATTTGATGAAATCTTCTCTTCCCTATATGGAAAAAAAAAACAAGCTGCACAAAGCGTGGCCCAGAATTGAAAAGCTTTTGTCTCCTCAGAGTTGTAGTAGTTGTGGCTGCAGCAGCCCTTTTCCTATTTCCTTAAACAGCCAGCCATGCCTAACTAATGGGGGTTATGTAATTCCGTTGAGTATGGGCTTTGCTGGGTGGCTCAGGATGGAATCCAATAGAGATGGATATTATATATATTGTATATATTTATAATTTATTATATACATACCCCGCCCATCTGGCTGAGTTTCCCCAGCCACTCTGGGCGGCTCCCAATCAAGTGTTAAAAACAGTACAGCGTTAAATATTAAAAACTTCCCCTGAACAGGGCTGCCTTAAGATGTCTTTTGAGTGTCAGGTAGTTGTTTATCTCTTTGACATCTGAGGGAAAGGGCGTTCCACAGGGCGGGCGCCACTACCGAGAAAGGCCCTCTGCCTGGTTCCCTGTAGCCTCACTTCTCGCAATGAGGGAAACCGCCAGAAGGCCCTCGGCGCTGGACCTCAGTGTCCGGGCTGAACGAGGGGGGTGGAGACCCTACTTCATGTATACAGGGACCAGAGGCCGTTTAGGGCTTAAAGGTCAGCACCAACACTTTGAATTGTGCTCGGAAACGTACTGGGGAGCCAATGCAGATCTCTCAGGACTGGTGTTATGTGGTCCCGGTGGCCACCCCAGTCACCAGTCTAGCTGCCGCATTCTCAAGCAATGCAACCTGTACACTTGGCTCTGTTTTCCTCTATCTGAGAAAGGGCTAAAACGCCACAACTTCAGCTGAGATCCTGCGACCTGAGAAGGCCTACTGATCAATTGGGGGTATAAAACTGGGGGAGATTTTCAAATAGGTCTCCTGTAGTTTTAAAAATGACCAAATGAAGGCATGTAGCACCTAAGAAAGGAGGACTTCAACCCCGATCCATTTTCTTTATGGCCAATTCTCTCTCATAACATGCACCAACTGAAAGATCTGTTTCAGCCTAGCATAATAATAATTATGTATGTATTTATTTTTGAATTATTTTTATTAATTTTACAAATTATTACAGATCAAACCAAATGAAATTAATTTAATAAATGTCTTAAAATCAGGTTTCCCGCTCCTGTTCCAAACGTATGATCATCATCATTTGCCGCATTATTTCTTATTTAGAGTCCAGTTGACATCCTTCACTTGCCATTAAACCATTCTTCCAGCTGACTGCTTTTTCCACCTTACAAACAGCACCTCCGTTACATCTTATAAATAAGTAATCAATTTTATGTGTGTAGTCCTTCATATACATTGTTGTTCCAGACCTGGTGGACTGGGAGAGTTAATTACTATCTTCCACTGTTCAGCTCTTTGAAGTGTTTATCTGAATGGTACAAGGTCACATTCCATTCCTTCTACTGTTTACCGACTAGCATACAAGCTAACACCATAAATAACTCACGGAATGCATATCCAAACTCCCCCATTAAATTCTGCTCTGGAGTTCTTCCTTCGGCACACAGCTAAAAACAAAATCTTTCCCCCCCAAATTCAGCCTCTTTGCCAGATCTGTTCAGCAGCGGTTCATCTTTTTTCACTGCATTCTTCCAACAGCACTCCTAGTCCAGTCCAGGAATAATTTTTAAATAAAGTCCGTTCAGCCTTGGTTGAGGGGGGAAGGCATAATAAAACCTTGTTCAATTCTTTGTTTGAGCGTAAATCGAAAGCCTCCCCCCTCTTTTCCGAAGTAAACAACAGAATAACATAGCAGTGGCTGCACACGTCCTTTTCATGATGCAGAAAAAAAGGACCATTTGAAAAGCATAAGTCTGCGCAAAGACCTTGTCCTCCCTTTGCCGGCTGTTGTAAGGATTCTGAAGCTTAGAAGAAAACATTCAGATACCTTCAAAGAGCCAAGCAGAGGCCTTTCGGCAGCTGACTGATCGCAACCCATTAACGTTGGTCCAGAAACACCTCTTGATTTGTGCCAATTGTCCGAATTATGGAGGAACAAATCACAAATCATGCCAGAGACAGAGGCTCATCTATGGTAGGGACACACTCCCAGTTGCACCCACTCTGCCTTTCAAGTTGGCAGACACAGGCTTGAGTGGCACAGCGTGATGCAGTGAGCTCCCCAGACCCCACTGGGGAACATTGCCAGTATTTTTGGCTCATAAATCCTGCCTTTCCCCTGCCTGAACCTCCTCACTGCCCACAGAGGGCAGCAAGGAGCTACCACCATTGAATTCATGACGTAGCCGGAAACCTATTCTTATTATTATTTATATGCTGCCCATCTGGCTGGGTTACCCCAGCTACTCTGGATGGTTTCCAACAATTTAAAAACACAGTGAGACATCAAAAAATAAAAACTTCCCTAAATAGGGCTGCCTTCAGATGTCTTTTAAAAGTCAGATGGATGTTTATTTACTTGGCATCTGATGGGAGGGTGCTCCACAGGGTGGGCTTGACCGCAAGGCGCTCTGCCTGGTTTCCTGTAGCCTCCCTCCTCCTCCTCCGTAATACAATAAAAATGATGAGTATGGCAAATAAAAATAAATATGAAAGTAGAAAAATAAGACAGGGGCAAAACACCACTATTAAAAAATACAATGCCACATTCAGTTGTAACATATGAGAAGAACTGTCAGATGGAGCTGGATCTCAGCATCCAGGTTGAATGATGGGGGTGGAGATGCTCCTTCAGGTATGCAGGGCCAAAGCTGTTTAGGTCCTTAAAGGCCAGCACCAACACTTTCAATTGTGCTCAGAAATGTATTGGGAGCCAATGTAGATCCTTTAAGACTTATGTTATATGGTCCTGGCTGCCACACCCCGTCACCAACCTTAGGAATAAATAAACAACTCTTAACAGTTCAGGAGCCCTGTCCTCTTTTTTTTACCTTAACCTATGCTATCAACCTTGTTGTTGTTGTTTAGTCGTTTAGTCGTGTCCAGCTCTTCGTGACCCCATGGACCAGAGCACACCAAGCACTCCTGCCTCCCGCAGTTTGGTCAAACTACCAACCTTAACCCCCTGCTATCAATGCAACATCTTTCCACCAACAGCTGAAAAGCTCAAATCCTTCCCTGGCTCCTTTTACTCTCTCCAGCCTTTAATTAACCGCACTGCTGCTATGATCAACTTCACAATCCAATACTTCGTTTCCCCAAATAGAGCCAACATGCCAAGATGAAAACACTTACGGGTTTGGTATCTTAATATTAAGCATTGTTTTGAGCATGGGTCTCTAGGTGTCAATGCACCTAATCCCCTCTACTGTAATTAAACCAAAAGAGATGGAAGAGACGATTCAGCAGAAAATGTGCTAACGAAAGGATTTCTGCAAGCAGTTACGCTGGTGGCTAATAATACCTCAAAATGTTCATTAGATATTGTTCTTAAAACTCAGGTTTTAGCATGGAAGATCAGTTCCCTAATCAATAGGTAGTCTTACAGTACAGGAAAGGCCAAGATTTGAGATCAGTATAGGAGGAGTGCTCTGAGCTACAGGGAGAGGGATCTGCTAGAAGGGAGGTAGTGGGAATATTTGTTAGGAACAACCCAGATATATACATCACATTATTCTTGGTCCATGGTTTCTCCATTTTTCAGTCTAAAACCCTTGGATGCCGTTTACCTATCTTCTCCTCCCACAAGCTACCCACATATTCCTAGGATCCATAGGGAAAAGTTTCTCAGTGCCGCCCTCCAATCTTTCAGAGACCTGAAGGCTGCAGCATTCTTAAAGGCCTACTGTGTCTCAGTCAGATTTTGCAGGCACATAAAGGTTGACATCTGTCAAGAGGGGCAGTGAGAACCCAGTACAGAGTTCCCATCTTTCATTTCCCCAGAGTGATAAAGAGCGGGGCCTCAAAAGTGATAGCAGACCTATCATTGTCACATTGGAATGGACCTCGAGGGTCATCTAGTCCAACTCCCTGCAGGAATCCTTTGCCCAACATGGGACTTGAACTCAGCAACCCTGAGGTTAAGAGTCCCATGCTGTATCAACTGAGCTACGTCTGTAGCCACAATCAAGGCAGCGAGGAAAGAGTGTTGAATGTCAGCTCAATAGCAGTGGTCTTATTAGTTGTAGTGGGGACAATAGATCAATGATGTCATAATCATGAGAAGATGGGGGAAGAGTTTTTAGCAAACTGTGGGGAAAGGGGCAGTTTGGGGCAAACTCTGGGGGATGAGGATTGACAGCAAAGTAGGAATGGTGCATACCGTATTCTTCGCTCCATAAGGCACACCTAGTTTTTAGTGGGGGAATGGAAGAAAAAAAATATTATTTAAAGTGAGTGCTGAGCAGAGCCTGTATGCATCCCAGGCTCTGCACAGCGCTCCCTTTCACGAGCTGCGTGGAGTGTGTGTGCGGTGCTTGCAGGCTTTTCCACGAGGAGGGAGAAGGGCAGCCCGTCACTGATGGGTTGCCCTTCTCCCTCGGGGAAAAGCCCCCAAGAGCCGCGCACACAGTCCGTGTGGCTCTTGAAAGGGAGCGCGGCTCTTGCTGACTTTTGCAGGAGGTGGTGGAAGGGACGGAGTGCGGCTAAGCCAGAAGCTAGAACAGCGAGAGGGAGCTCAGCGATCCCTCTTGCTGTTCTGGCTTCTGGGATAGCTGCGCAGCCTGCATTCGCTCCATAAGATGCACAAACATTTCCCCTTACTTTTTAGGAGGGAAAACGTGCGTCTTATAGAGCGAAAAATACGGTAGGTGGGGATGGGGGTGTTGAAGGAACTGTGGAGGAGTGGGAGCTTGGTAGCAGGTGTGGTTACTGAGCAACTCAAGCAGGGGCAGCAGCCCCTAATAACCTCATATAAACCAAGTGGAAGTGAATGCTCAGCAAGCAGTTAACCTCTCTGGAAACTTGTGGGGGGAGATTGGCATGAATGCACCATAAACAGGTCTTCTAGACTAAGTGTGTAACGTTGCAACTGTAGACTTTAATCATGTTTCATCGTTTGCTTTGTACTTACTAGACTATATTGCCTTTATGTACTTTTTGGTTCTATTTTGCTGTGTTTCATCCAGCCGACTACACTCCAACAACCTTTACTGTGATTGCCATCTAGCTTGGCTCTCCGATTGGCTACGCCAGCGACCTCGGGTTGGACTATACACTCAGTGCATGGGCCCCTCACATTTAAGGGGTCACAATGTAGCTGAGGTTCAAAAACGGGAATTCGTCTGCAGCGGTAAGACTCTCAATATTATTACAGCAGTACCTTAATGTGTAATGCATGACAATACAGCCTGAAAGAAGGCATGGGTAACACAAGCTTCACTAACTGTGCACAAAACGTAGTGCGTTCAGTCTACTTAAAATCAGGCTGCATATGTCTCAACCCCTTCCCTTGGCTATATAGATGCAGGCAGCTCAGCTCAAAGTTGGGAGCCTGGGAGGCTAGACTCATAATCTGGTGAACCGGGTTTGCGTCTCCGCTCCTCCACATGCAGCTGCTGGGTGACCTTGGGCCAGTCATGCTTCTTTGAAGTCTCTCAGCCCCACTTACCTCACAGAGTGTTTGTTGTGGAGGAGGAAGGAAAAGGAGAATGTTAGCCACTTGGAGACTCCTTCGGGTAGTGATAAAGCAGGATATCAAATCCAAACTCTTCTCTTCTTCCTCTTCAACTGTATCCTCATCTAGTCATCCCCATATGCCTGAAGCAGATTTCACACTCTCCAGAACCATGAGCACCTTGTACTGGAAAAGAGGGAGGGCTAGCTGGGGATACTGGAGGTAGGGGGACGCGGGTGGCACTGTGGTCTAAACCACTGAGCGTCTTGGACTTGCTGATTGGAAGGCCGGCAGTTTGAATCCACACAACAGGCTGAGCTCCTGTTGCTCTGTCCCAGCTTCTGCCAACCTAGCAGTTCAAAATAATGCCAGTGCAAGTAGATAAATAGGTACCACTGTGGCAGGAAGGTAAAGAGTGTTTCCGTGCGCTCTGGTTTCCGTCATGGTGTTCTGTTGCACCAGAAACAGTTTAGTCATGCTGGCCACCTGACCTGGAAAGCTATCTGTGGACAAACGCTGGCTCCCTTGGCCTGAAAGCAAGATGAGCGCCACAACCCCATAGTCACCTTTGACTAGACTTAACTGTCCAGGGGTCCTTTACCTTTTTTCCCCTTTACTGGAGGTAAAAGGTAAAGGGACTCCTGACAGTTAAGTCCAGTCCCAAATGACTCTGGGGTTGCGGCACTTATCTCGCTTTACAGACCGAGGGAGCCGGCATTTGTCCACTCCGCAGACAGTTTTTCCGGGTCATGTGGCCAGCATGACTAAGCCGCTTCTGGCACAGCGGAACACCGACACCAGAGCAGCGCACGGAATCACCGTTTACCTTCCCACTGGAGCAGTACGTATTAATCTACTTGCACTTTTGGGCGTGCTTTCAAACTGCTAGGTTGGCAAGAGCTGGGACCGAGCTCACCCTGGGAGCTCACCCCGTCACAGGGATTTGAACTGCTGACCTTTTGATCGGCAAGCCTAAAGCTCAGTGGTTTAGACCACAGCACCACCCGTGTCCCTCAAGTTATTGGAGGTAGAAAAAGGCTAAATATTTCCCCTATCAAGCGGTTGTACCCTGCATGTGCATAGGTGTGGGATGGGTTGAAGCTGGCTTCTTCCGAGCCCTGTGGAAATCACTCACACAAGAACTGCACCTTTGCTATGATTAGATTCAACCTAGAGTGTCTCAGGTTACACATCTAGTGTCATAGTTATGAGGATGGGTGAAATGTGTAGGTCCAGGATATTAAATCCAGAGAGGTTTTTAGCATAAAATAAGTAGCGTATTCGAAGTGTACTTCTCATTTATGCTCTTGCCATTTTTACAGCCTTAAAACCTCTTATGAACTGAAAACTCAAGGGTTTGGAAAACGGAATTCGTTCTGTACATTTTACCATGTCTGTCGCTTTTTCAATCGCTTGTAATGACATATTAAAATAACTAATGATATACCACTAACAATTGTCTCTATTTCTCCTCTGTTCATACCCCCTAGATGAGGAAGAAGGCAAGTTCATTTAAATAAAACCAATCTTTTAATGACAGATTAAATCATTAGTCAGCATTGCTTTCATCACGTTTCCTCTAAATGTGTATACAACAGTTGTACCTTCCCATTTTCTCTTTTACTCACCCAAAGGCTCACTGAAAAGAGGGGTTTTCAGCAGTGAAGAAATTGTCTCAAGTAGTATTTTAAAAATAATGAGATAATTCAGTATTCTTGAAAGTGACAACAGGTGGTCGTCTTCGTTCTGTGATGCAGGAATGGCTCACCTGAAATTTCCACCCATTAAAAAAAAAAGTATTTAAAAATACGGCTCATGTGGGTTTCCCACTGTGATACAATTGTGCTAAAAGCTTTACTGTGCCCTCTGTTTTTTTTTATTTTATTTTACTAACTGCTGCCATCATTTGCTGTGATATGTCTTTACATTTGTAAAAAAAATACTTCATTTACTGCTGACTCAGTCCCCTGCTATGATTCTGTGATGCCAAAAGCCTTTTTGCCCAATAACTCCAAATGCAGAAAGTAAAACAAAAAACCTAGAGGGTCAGTGCACACCAAAGCCCGCAGAAGTCACCCCTGCTGTTGACCAAGCAGTAAATGCTTTAAATCAAGGGAGCAAATTATTTACTTATTTTTGCTTGTTTGCGCCACTGAAGAATGAACTGACTGCCAAATATATACATATGTGTTAATCAATGTTGGTAAGTTAAAGACTGCACATTGGCAATTTGGTCAGCATAAAAGGCTGAAGAAGGTTCCCTATGAAAGCTATGAAAGACGTTGATATGGTGGAATGTTAAAATGATGCAGGATATAAAGATAATATGGCATTAGTGATACAGTGGAAAGGAATATGTAAAAATGCTTCATAAGACAGGGTAAAGATAGAATAATATTATGTCAAATTTAAATAAATTGATATAAAGGGAAAAATTGGAGACATAATAGTTGAAACGCGTAACACAAAATAAGATTTGAAAGAGGGGGAGGCACTGCTGAACAAGATTGTGTAAGGGGAACACAGAAAAGGGAGATGTGAGGGAGTCTGGAAGGAGGGTTAAGAAAATAATAAGTAAGAAATTGGCTTTTAATCTTTTTTTTTTCTTTAATGTCTTTTTCTTTTGTTTTTGTTTTTTTCGTGTGTTTTACTGTATTTTTCTGTTTATTAAGTGATTGTGATGGTGTTTTTCTTTTCTTTTTTTCTTTTTTCGTTTAGATTGTGAAGTTCATTTTACTGTTAAAAACCTTAATAAATATCTTTTAAAAAAAAAGATATGGTGGAATCTCTGGACTTAGCCACATTTCCTCTCGTCCTGCTGCTTTTCCTTCCTGGGAAAACTGCTCTTTAGTGCTCAGTCGGAGCAAATGGCAATTGGGTTTTCTGTGGATTGCGATTCAGAGCTGAAGAGCAGGTTTCCCCTGGGAAAGGAGCAGGGCAATGGAAAGCTGCTTAGACCCATCCTTTCTAGCATAGGAGCTCAGTCCTAGCAGCTGAGGTCCATTTGGCCCCTCAAATAAAATATTTGATGGTCCGTCTGTACCTCCCCCCAAGTTGATGGGCATTGCCATTCAAATGTGTATGTGCTTGTGATTGATTGTGCAGGGAGGGGCTCACCTGGGACCCCCCAATATTTCCTTCAAGTTGGCACCTCTACTTTCTAGGCAGTGGCGTAGCGTGGGGGGGTGCAGGGGGGGCCAGCCGCACCGGGCGCAACATCTGGGGTTAGGGCAAATCCACAGGTTAGGGGGCGCAAATCCACGGGTTAGGGGGCGCAAATTACTTGCCTTGCCCCGGGTGCTGACAACCCACGCTACGCCACTGTTTCTAGGCACTGGGCAATGGAAATGTGGGTGCTTTAATCCAGGCTTCCGCCATACAATATATGAAAGTCTTCCAAGCATCTATTTCTGCACATTTCGTTTTAAGGCAGTTTTGGAATCTGTACAGTGGTGCCTCGCAAGACGAAATTAATCCGTTCCGCGAGTCTCTTTGTCTTGCGATTTTTTCGTCTTGCGAAGCACAGCTATTAGCGGCTTTAAGAAAAAGGAAACAAACTCGCAAGAACTCGCAAGACGTTTCGTCTTGCGAAGCAAGTCCATAGGGAAATTCGTCTTGCAGAACGACTCAAAAAACGGAAAACCCTTTCGTCTAGCGAGTTTTTCGTCTTGCGAGGCACCACTGTATTCTGGAGCAGATTGGGGGAGGGTTAGAAAAAGCCCTTGCTTGTGTAGTGAGGTGTTTCATTAATAGCATTCTTGCAGTTTTAGAAGTAGCAATCTGTTACTGTTTCCAGGTCATCAGTCTTTTATGGCTCCCTCCTGCAGCGTCTTGCACTGTCCTTCTGCATGTACATGTAGTAACAACATTGTGGACTGCCGAGGGAAGGGCCTTTCGGAGATCCCAACCAATCTGCCAGAAACCATCACAGAAATGTACGTAATGTGATTTCCCCCTACTTTTACTAATTTAATTCGTTTCTTGTTTTGTTTTTTAATTGTTTATCACAAGCTCGAACTGTGCTAAAATGGGGCATACAGAAATATAACTTCATAATAGCATCATTTCCTGAATGGATATTTCACATAATCTTGTATTTGCTTTTGTGGGCTAAATATAGCAGCACAGACTACATTTTCCCCCAAAAAATGGATTCAAATGGATATGTTTGTGTAAATGTTTTTGAGACATCATGAGAAGGTCTATAACTTTAAATAAGTATATGTGAAATATTTAGAAGTTTTCTCCCATCTGACGTCAGCCACCTTGGGTGCTCCATAAGTTCAGAATTATGTGCTGAAAATGAATGCTTGGAAACCTTTGTCCTGATAGCCACAGCCATAAAACAGTTGACTATGTACTCAAACAGATTCTGTTTGAAGATATCTATGGAGTGTTCCGGACACTTAGTGGCTTCTTGAATTTCTGAGTGCAAACCCAAGAACCATAGAATCATAGAGCTGGAAGGGACCATGAGGGTCAGCTAGTCCAACCCCCTCCAAATGCAGGAATTCCCCCCCCCAAACGTGGGGCTTGAACCCACGGCACTGAGATTAAGAGTCTGATGCTCTACTGACTGAGCTGCCTTGTTCTAGGTAACACTTTACACACTACCTCAAGCCTTTAGCTGACAATTCTAAATGCCTTACATTGAAACAGTTTCCTGTCAATTAGGTCTAAATATGTTTCTAGGATCTCAGCCATCTCTCATATCCCATTAAGATGTTTAAGATCAGCTTCTCAACCTGTGGCTTCCCAGATTTTATTGGACTACAACTCCCATCATCCCTGAGCTCTGGCCTTGCTAGCTAGGGTTGATGGGAGTTGTAGCTCAAACAACATCTGGGGACCCACAGGTTGAGAAAGGCTGGCGTAGAGGGTTTTTAACCAGTGCTATGTGTTTAACAATCACACATGATACAAAAGTGTTACCATCATGGTGTGGCCTTTCCCAGCGACTCACCAAGTCCAAACATTAGCACTGTTGGAAGTTTCAGCAGTGACAAGATCAGAAACCTAGCCCTTACGTTTTCTGCATCTAGGACAGGCTTCCTCAAATTCAGCCCTCCAGATGTCTTGAGACTACAATTCCCATCATCCCTGATGGTCCTGCTAGCTAGGGATCCTGGGAGTTGTAGGCCAAAAACATCTGGAGGAACTCTGAATGCAGAGAAAACTTGCACATCTCCAAAGCAGATTTTGGGGTTTTGACTAGATGAAGGTGAACAAAGTCAGACAGGGCAGGGTATAAGACAATGATTGGTTTGTCCATCCGGGTGATATTACTAAACCTCTTCTAGAAGGGGCTTCGGTCCCCATAAAGGGTCAGTTTTGCAATTTCTAGGGTGCTTTTGGATCCAACATTATCACAGTCTGTTGTGTTGCTTGAAGTGCCTTTTTTATCTCTGGCTGATGCTACAACCGTATCTGGAGAAGACAAGCTGAGCCACAATTTACTCATGCTTTGGTAACCTCCCAGGTAGACTGTTTCAATGTGTCGTATTGGAGACTGGCCTTAAGAATGGTCTGGAGACTGCAGTTGGTTCCAAATAGGGTCACAGCACTATTAAATGAGCATTTTGGTCACATTGTGCCAGCCGCACTGCATCCTAATCTGATTCTGGGCTCAATTTAAAGTTGTGTGTTTTCAAGCTTTAAATCCCTTGGGACCCGGTTACCTTATGCCATCCCCAACAAATTCCTATCCAGATCTTCCTTGGAGACCTTTCTTCTGAGCCTACCCACCAAGTAGATGGGGGGTTTCCGGAGTGAGGGCCACTTTGGATGAGGCATGGAACAACCTCCCCGGAGAGGTTTAGCCTGAGACCTTCTCTTATGGTCTTTCTGGTGCCAGGTGATGGCTTTTTCCTTCACCCATAATTTTTCATTGTGCTTTGAACTAATCTTGGGCAGTTGTGGCTTAGTGTGGTTTTAATCTGAGCTGTGAACTACTTACGCTTTTTCTTATTTCTTATTGTTTATTTTAATTACTATATATATTGTATTTGAATGTTGTCTTTTCGTCAGCCGCCCAAGAGATGGGTAGTGGCGCTGATGAAGTGTAGGCAACACTTAAACTTTGTAACTCGCTGCTTATTGACACCAGGCAAGCGACTTCAAGAAACACTTTTCAATGCCTGTTTAAAACGCATTTGTTTAGGCGAGCCTATCCAGACACGTATATGTTGAGGTGTTTTAATTTATTTTACTGTTAATCTTTATTACCTTTTAATGTTTTTGATAGTTTTTAACTGTTTTTATTTTATAATTTTAATACTTCTTGTAAACTGCTTAGAGGTTTTACTATGGTCAGTGGCAACAGAGAATGACCTTCAGTTCTGCCTAAGGTGTTCCCTTTCTAGATTTTCCTCCCCCAACCCTTTTCCTCATTGATTTCCAATTGGTTTCTCAGTTAAGTTCAGTCAGTTCAGGCTGTAGCCTGCCCTTTCTTTATGGTTTCTGACATGTGTTATCCAAAAGCAAGAGTCCTGAAAGACGTCACAGAAATCCACTGGCTACGCGGCAGAAAATGAGCTGCAACTTCCACGTTAGAGCAAAACTTTCTTCTGAATACAGATGATTTATTGTTGTGTTACTCCATGATGACAGTGTTCATTGCTTTTGCTGATAAAATGCAACTGGAGGCATTTTTGTCATTAACAACAAGTCCCTTGAGGTACTGCTTGATAGAACAATTTGTGTAGATATTAAATACTAGTCAAGCTGTAGAACAATGTTTAAAGATTCACTAACATAGATATTGAGTAGACTGTCAGACAGGCTTGTTTAACAGTCAAGGGGCAAGTATATAGAACAGCAGTTACAAACAACACTTTGAGGATGTAAGTAGAAAATTCATGATATTATTTTATAAGTAACATCATAAGCAATATTTAGTTGATGCAAATGCTTTGGAGTAGATTTGGAGTAGATTTGTATAATAGCCTGAAGGCTTTGGAAAGCATATGAAGAACGTGAGATCTCTTCCTTTGTCAAAAGACAAGCATTAGGCATAGTAAGAAATTATGTTAGTATCTGTCATAACGTTTTAGATTCAGGAGCTGAAGTGATTTCCTTTGCTAAGATCTATTTCGTTTGCTGACATCTATTTTTTGCCATTTACGCTAACAGCAGATGGGAAATATGCTAAGATGTGAGGCATTTTTATTGCCATATATAATCACCACCTGTGATTATTTTGCTTATATTTGTTTTCTGTGTTAAGGAAGTTTGATTTCTTCTTGTGAATATAAAAAGCAAAGCTACTTCAGTGCAATGCAATTGAGTTTGTCTGCACTTCCAGTAGCATAGTAGAAACCAAGAATATACTAGTGTCATCCCTCAGCTGGAGTCTGCATCAGAGAATGACCAGGAGGCCCCAGCCTTAAGTCAAGCCCAAGGTCAGGTTCCATAGGGAGTAAGGAGCCAAGATCCTGCAACAAGGCCCTGTAGCTGGGCGTTCACATCCAGGATGTGGCTGCTGACATGGAGGCAAACAGGTCCCAAGCCTGAGGTCATCTGGTGAAGAGCCTGAGTACATGCAATAACTTCTTGGGAATAAAGGTCTCTCTGGAACAGGGGTCGGCAACGTGCGGCCCATGGACAGGATGCGGCTCACAAAGACTGTTTTACCAGCCCACGAGCCGCCCCCGAACCAAGCTGCCCGCTCAGTGAGTCCCCTGCGCACTGCGCTAAACCGGGGCAGCGCGGTGTGGGGACTAGCCGAGTGGGACCGGAAATCACATCTGCGCATGCACAGATACTGGAAATTGCATCTGCGCATGTCCAGATGTCAAAAATTGCTTCTATGCAGGTGCAATTTTTGGCGCCTGTGTCGCAAATTGTTCACGGCATTTATATATCACCAGACCCTTATATATAGTGAGAGGGTGGGGAGGGGTATTACTCAGAAGGGTGGTGGGAATGGCTGATAGGTGTGGTAAATGACTGTTAAGGACTGCAATTGGTCTTACAGGAAAAAGCAAGCGGTGAGATGGCTAAAAATAGCTTTATCATGTATAATGAGATAAGAATCCAGTGTCTCTATTCAGACCAGGTCTCTCCATGGTTTTCAGTTTGGTGATAAGTTGCAATTCAGCAACTTCTCTTTCCAGTCTATTTCTGAAATTCTTTTGTAATAAGACAGCTACTTTGAGATCTTGTATAGAATGTCCTGGGAGATTGAAGTGTTCTCCAAGTTTCCCAAGAATGGTAGCTGTGATCTCCATTGCCTTCACCTGTGCATGCTGGGAAATTACCTTCATTTGAGGGTTCATGGGCTATTGCTCCTCTCTCCAGAATACAATGTTACTCGGCGAGAGAGAGAGATTGCATATGT